CTAAGTGCCTTGAAGGATGTGGTATAAAAGTGAGTTATGGGGGGAAAGTATGATGCACAATTAACAAGCAAACCATATGATTTATTTTCATATAATGTTTGGGTTAGCATTGTTGGTGTGGGGGTAGGGGACATCTCAGCCTGCCATCTCCCCCTGTCTTACAGAATCCAAAGTGTGAAGGTTGGCAATACAGTTGTGGTTGCCTAGCAATAGCCACAACAGTCACTGAGTTTCTTAAAGCTGCAGGCTCTGCTACTTCTATTGGGAGGAGGGGTTAACATCAAAGTACTTGTTTTAGATTTCAAAATTTTCTGCAAATCAGGGGCTTTTCTTAGGTCTGCCTTGTCTGTTCATGGCTCCAGTGTCTGGATTTATTTATCTACAGATTTGTCCACACTGAGATTTAGATATGTTGATTTCTGTATTCAGCTAATGTATGTCTAGCATCTAGAATGATCAGTGCTGATTTGCTCTGCTTAGGTAGTAGTTACCAATCAAATAAATACAATGTCTCAATAGGGACATTTTTTGCAAATACAAGAGTAGTAAACAACAGCAGCAACTTGCAGCCAATTGAATATACCAGAGAACCAATTTACTTATTGTGGTAAACTCATAGCTCACCAGTATAAAGCTATAGGATATTTAAATTAAAAAATCTGATGGACACAGTTGGAGTTTTTTGGTTTGATTACATTTGCATCCTTGTACACATTTGTGATACATTATCCCATTCTGCGATACTGAGCAAGTGGTTACTTAAGTGGCTTCCATACATTTATTCTTGGGCAAACCCCACACCTCTGTCATTACAGAACTTCTGAACATTGCACAGACCACAGCATACTGGATTATTCCTCACTCTCAGGGGGCTTTCAGGGAATGGAAAGAGAAAATGGGGGGGAAGGAAAATGAGAGATCTCCACAAATTCTTTTTTGACATGCGATCAGAAAGTTACATTCCAAAATTGTAACATCCCAATATGTAATCATGTAACCCATGACTCTTCTTAAACCACAGACCAAACCTGGGAGCAGGCATGGGAGGAAATATAATCTATTGTAATATTAGGATTGAGGGGTACAACTTTTTTTTAAAAAGGGATAGACAAATAAGGAAGGGGGAGGAGTAGCATTATATGTAAAGGAAGCATATGATTGTGAGGAAATACATGAATCTGAGCATGGAAGTTCAATTGAGAGTCTCTGGGTCAAAATAAAAGGAGTAAGAAATAATAGTGATATTATGGTGGAGGGTCTGCTATAGACCACCAAGCCAAGCAGAGGACTTGGATGAGACACTCCTAGAACAGAGTACAAAGTTCTCAAAGAGAGGACACGGTGGTCATGGGAGATTTCAATTACTCAGATATCTGAGTATAAATGGGCAATTTTCTCTGGAGGGAGGTAAGCAGTGGGGTACCACAGGGATCAGTACTCGGTCCAATGCTTTTTAACTCATTCATTAATGATTTGGAGTTGGGAGTGAGCAGTGAAGTGGCTAAATTTGAGGATGATACGAAGTTGTTCAGGGTTGTGAACACCAAGGAGGATTGTGTGGCACTCCAAAGGGATCTGTCAAGGATGGGCGAGTGGGCATCAACATGGGAAATGGGGCTCAGTGTGGCCAAGTGCAAGGTGATGCACATTGGAGCCAAAAATCCTAACTTTAAATACACATTGATGGTCCAAACTGGCAGAGACTGACAAAGAGAGAGATCTTGGAGTTGTAGTAGATAACTCACTGAAAATGTCAAGGCAGTGTGTAACTGCAATAAAAAAGGCCAATGCTATGCTGGGGAATATTAGGAAGGGTATTGAAAACAGATCAGCCAATATCATAACGCCCCTATATAAATCAATGGTGCATCCTCATTTGGAATACTGTACAGTTCTGGTCACCACACCTTAAAAAGGATATTATAGCTTTGGAAAAAGTGCAGAAAAGGGCAACTAGAATGATAAAAGGGTTGGAACACTTTCCCTATGAAGAAGGGTTAAAGCGCTTGGGGCTCTTTAGCTTGGAGAAACAATGGCTGAGGGGTGACATGATTGAGGTTTATAAAATTATGCATGGGATAGAGCAGGTAGAGAAAGAAGTACTTTTCTCCCTTTCTCACAATACAAGAACTTGTGAGCACTCAAATTGCTGGGCGGTCGGGTTAGAACAGAGGAAAGGAAGTACTTCTTCACCCAAAGAGTGATTAATACATGGAATTCACTGCCACAGGAGGTGGTGGCGACTACAAGCACGGACGGCTTCAAGAGGGAATTAGATAAATATATGGAGCAGAGGTCCATCAGTGGCTATTAGCCACAAGGTATGGATAGGGACTCTGGGGCAGGTGATGTTCTGTATTCTTGGTGCTGGGGGGGCAATAGTGGGAGGGCTTCTAGTGTCCTGGCCTCACTGGGTGGACCTCCTGAAGGCACCTGGTATTTTTGGCCACTGTGTGACAGAGTGTTGGACTGGATGGGCCATTGGCCTGATCCAGCATTGGCTTCCCTTATGTTCTTATTCAGCAATGTTTAACTTTGCAAGAAACAACTGAGTTTGGGAAGCACTAGTATCTGCAAGAATTTTCAATAAAACATCAGTGTTTGAGTTATCCCTTCCAATTTTTCTATAAAGAATCTTATAAATTGCTCATCACTCATTTATTGGTTCCAGTATGACAAGCAAACCAAAACAATTTAAATGGTCACCAAATTTGCCCTTCATGTGCTTCTACTGGTTTAAAGCATGAATGTGTCCAAATGATTGCAGTCTGCTTTCTGTGGTACTGAGGATTATCATTAAAGGTATAAACCCTATTTTGCTTCATGGGAATATCTTTTCAGCTTCTCATTTCAGAAGATTAGCTTAAATTTAAATAGCATTTAATAAGAGGTGTATTTTGACTAATCCCAAGTACATCTTTGACCCCTTTTAAATTGATTAAAATTCTTTCTCATCTAACTGGTACAGGGGTGGCTAACTATATCTGTAACCTGTGGTTATAAAGCCAATTCATTTGGATCTCTATGGTTCTACTAAATTTTAATTAAGATATATTTTAAATAGTTGTTGGATGTTTGCTTTTAGTTGTAGATGAAGAAAGAGTAGAATGGCAAATGACTGTATTGGGGGGAAATGCTAATTCTCTATAGAAGGGCCCAAGTTTATGGTAGGGTTAGGAGGGAGGAATCACTTAAGTTCCTCTGTGGGGGTAGAGTGTGTGTATTGTGGCTAGGGTTGTTTAAAAAAGTGTCCTATCCCTTTAACAGAGGCTTAACAGGATGTCATTTACTAGGCAATGATATTTATCTCCATGCCATGAAAAGCTTCATCTGCCCATTTTCCCACACTAAGCCCCTATCAAAGGAACAGGACATTTTTTTTCTCCACGTAGTTGGCAACGCTAATTGTAGCCCAGCAGATTGTGGATTTGTTTTCAATAGTGGGATATCATGTCTGTTTCCTTTTGTCGGTGCATGAGTAGAGTGGCAACGGTCTATACTTTAGGACAGGGATTTTTTTGTAGAAAAAGCCCAGCAGGAACTCATTAGCATAATTGGCCACACCCAACAGCAGAAACTCTTTAGCATATTAGGCCACACCCCTGACAGCATAGGCTATTAGCATATGAGGCCACACTCCTGTGTTACCAGAAGTGTGGTCATCCAGCTACACCCATCTTTTGCTTCTTATTCTGTTTACCTTGTTTGTTGTCAAAACCCAGGGCTTTTTTGTAGCAGGAACTCCTTTGCATGTTAGGCCACACACCCCTAATGTAGCCAATCCTAATGAGTTTCTGCTGTTGGGTGTGGCCTATTATCCTAATGAGTTCCTGCTGGGCGTGGCCAACTCAGGAGCCAGCCAGAACTCCATTCCTGTGCATTCTTTGCCCAAAAATAGCCCTGCTTTAGGATGAAACAAGTGGCTTGACTCCCCGTTGTTGCATTTTACAAGACAGACAAATATATTTATAGGGAACTAACAGTGCAATCCTAAGAACACTTTTAAGGCATTAACCCCCATTGAATAGTAGGATTCTGAGTCTTACACCACCACAGCAACATGGTGTAGTGGTTACGGTGTTGGACTAGGATCTGGGAGACGCAGATTCAAGTTCCCATTCTGCCACAAAAGTGTGCCATGGGACCTTGGGGCAGTCACTCTCCCCCAGCCTAATCTACCTCAACAATGCTGGTTGTCAGAATAAAACGGAGAATGATGTAAGCTGCTCTGGTTCCCCAATGGGGAAGAAAGTAAATAAGTATACCTGCTTAGGATAACACTGGAAGTTTGTCTATTTGGGATGGGGCACTGGTTGAACACATGTTCTCTCTCTTCATCCTACCGCTGTTTGTATCAAGTGCAAAATAAATCATCTTTAATATAAATGATCTTCTGGAAAAGAATCATCAAGTTGTTCAGACCACTGGTCTGATGAGCTGTTTTTCTGAAAGAGACACTTGGGGATTAATAGCCTTACTATTACAAAAAGTGTAATGTTTTCCACATGGTCCTAAAGACACACACACACAAGCATGTGCGTGCACGCACGCACGCACACACACACACACACGTCTTCAGGGTCATTTGAGTAAATGTTATGCTTTTTATAATGGTAAGATTTTATGTGTGTGTGTGTATTTTTAGAAGTAGACATGTCATGTATTAAGCATTTCAAATACCAAACATTTTAGCAGCATTTCCCCAGTCTTTTGGATAAATTCAATTCATATTTTGTTTTCTTGACCTGTACTACAGCCTTCAACACATTTCCAGTTACATGCATTTCCTCATAAGAGTGTATATTTAAGTCCTAGCATATATTTATGTACATTTACTTCAGACCAATATTTTATGGAGTCTATTTTGCTATGATGTTTTCCCCAGGTCCTCTCCTGGGTCTCTGCAATAAAATGTATTTTGCGATTTCTGCGCTGTAATTAGGCCTTAATATTAGTTCTTTTATGTCAGAAATGACAGAAACTGCTTTTCTGTGTTTCAGGCTCCTGCAACAGATGAAGATAATATGGAGGATGGCTGCTCTCAGAAGCTGGCTTCTGCCAAGTACCTTCGCCTACTATTACTCATACTAATTCCTTGCATCTGTGCCCTTATACTTTTGTTGGTGATCCTTCTTACATTGGTTGGTAAGTATAATAGAATATAAACTAGGGCAAAGAAGAGACACTCATTGGATTTTACCAGTAATTTATTTTGATAGTTTAAAGTGCTCTTTTTATAGTCTGTAGGAATTTTTTCTCTCCAGATAGTCATCTGTATCTTGGTTGGCAAGAGTAGTATTATGGTAAACATCATGAAGAGTTCTATGCAAAATCTTTCTCTGGGGGTCTTTGTGTCTCTTACTCATATATTTCCTTCCAGGCCTGCTCCCAGGTTTGGTCTGTGTTTTCAGAAGAGTAATGGGTTACATGATTACATATTGGGATGTTACATTTTTGGAATGCAAGTTTCTGATCACATGTCAAGAAATTACTTGTAAGGATATCTTATTTCCTTCCCCCCACTATTTTCTCTGTCCCTTCCCTGAAAGCCCCCATAGCGTCTTCCTTTTTCCTGCTTCCTTCTTTCCTTCCCTCCCAATATGAGAATGAAACACATGCAGGTTTAGCCAGCACAACTATCCCTGCCAAAGTGCAGGGCAACTTTCTGTTTATTCTTTTGGATTGCAAAAGATGACTTGCAAAAGAGCCTGTTGTAACTTATAGGATTTTTTTTGTCCTTAGGAGACAACTGTTGGTAGTCGAGCCAACATTCAAAAGTAGTGATTGTATTGATTGATAACTGAGTTTTAGGATCTGTCTTTTACCACAGAACATGCTAAACATGCTTCAGATAATGCTAGCTTGGCAAATAGGAAGCATGATGCTCAAAGCTGATTAACAATTTGTCTGAAGCATCTTGACCCTGTGTTCTATTTCACTCATCAATGAAGTGAAAATTTAGATGTGGGAGAGAGAACATAGATGCCTGCATTTTCTTCTTCAGGGCAAAAATGGCTACTGCGTTGTTGTTTAGTGAAAATCATTAAACCTGAGAAAGAATGTCAGATTTGAATATCACTTAGCGGTCTTGAACTGGAAATATCCCTGTTGAAAGCAGTAGCAATATGGTGCTCCAAAACTGATAAACACATACAATAACCACGGTATCAATAAAAGGAACAGCTGAGTCAAGTAACAGGTATAATTTAATGCTGTTAAAATACTGCTTTTCACATTCAGCACAATAAAAATTTCTTCCCTAATCCATAGGTCATCTGGTGAAAGGACCAGGAATGTTCTCATGATCTAAAGTGGTGTGCACAAGAAGCAGCACCACGATTTCCTTTTCCTTTTTGGGGATGTGAGGGTTTTGTGGGGGGGGGGGTTTAAAAGAGGAGAAAGGCAAGTCACTCGCTTAAAGCAGTCAGAGAGTGATTCAGCAAGAACACAACTTTATTCTTCAACTCGAACACAACTCCAACACGGATCAACATCTGATAGCCAGAACAGCCCTTACATTGCAGCTGTCCTGCTTTTAAACATTCCCGGCTAATGTAGCCACACCCACTGTACAAAAAACCAATAAGGTTGTTCGCATAAGGACCAATCACGGATGTTCCCGCTCAGGGAGCTTGCTTGAAGGTGATTGGTTAGGTGCTTCCTGGACTAGTAACACGATTGGATGTATTTGGATCCTAGCCCAGGACGAAGCTTAACATTACAAGTCAATGAGATGTTTCACATACATCATGCATTCCATGGCAGCTTTGGAATACACTTCAAAGTGAGAAGGAGAAAAATTATCCTCTTTCAATCCCAATGTGTGTAGGGCTGTTTCTGCACAGGGATTTTTCCATGGATATAACACAGCATGCCCTCACTTTATTGAGGAGTTTATACTGACATCATGTTCTTACCAAGCATGAGATGGGGCCCTGGGGCTTTCCCTTTTAAGCCAGAGTAAAGGGAAATCTCATTTGCTCCAATTTACAAGGGAAATGGTGCTATGATAGTAGGAAGAGCCTCCATGTCGAAGTTCTGCCTGAAGCTGCTCTGAAGAGGAGACAGCTAGATTTGAGTCCAGGACCACCTCAGAGAACAAGATTTTTGGGTATAAGCCTGCAAAAGTCGAAGCTACTTTCAGCAGATATAAGTTGGAAAGGAGATTTCTGAGTATTAAGTGCTCAGAGATCTACATTCTGATTCATTTCTGATAAAGGGAGCTTTGGCTCTCAAAAGCTTATACTCTCAACATCTTGTTGGTCTCTAAGGTGCTACTGGACTCAGATCTCGCTGTTCTACTACCGAACAACATGGCTACCCTCTGAAACTACCTGAAAGGGGGCGGAGCTTAGTGTCCCTCCTCATATCTTTAACAGGGATATTTTCCTTAACAGCTGAGGGGCAGTTCAGCTGTGAACTGTCTTTCACATGTTAGGGGGGGAGGGAAAGTCTGCCGAAATTCTCATTGGATCGGTCCTTTTGCACTGACAAGGGGCATGGGGGTGGAGAAGGGTAGCATCAGCAGGA